ACCAAAAAATTCATTTGACTTGCTTTATTGTGATAGTTTATTGCAGTGGTCTAGGACCAAACCCACAGTATCTTGACAATGTACACCTGTAGATTAAGTTGAGAGGTTTTTAAAAGTCATGTTCATTAAGGCGGTAGGTTATGTTTTGGGACAAGGGTTTTGATTCTCATTTCTCAGGAAAGAATTACCTCAGACAGAGATATATGTATTCTCTAATGTCAGTTTTTATGAAATTAGTTTAAATGTTAATTACTACAATTCTAGAGTCAAAATCTGTAGTGGATTTTGAGAACCAGTTTTGTCCTACTGTTTGCCTTTAGGTGAGTACTTTTTTTAAGTATTCAGGATGGATAAGGTTTTGTTTTTTTGTTTTTTTTTGTTATTTCTCTCCTTGATGGTTCCAGAAAGTAGAGAGAGACTCTACCCAGGAATCTCACTCTAATGTATTATACCATTATGGTCCCACAATTTGGCCAGAAGAATCAATTCATTTAGAATTTAAGTCTGTTTCTCCTGGGTTTGTCTTCTGTTGCCATAGTGATAAAGTATTCAGTGAACTGTGATTATTTGAAGATAAAAAGAACTTGACCCTTAGTTTTTAAAATATTTTTGCTCTATAAAACAGCTTTTATTCCTTTAGTTCTTCTTTAATATAAATTTTCTATTTCTTTAGTCATTTTGATAATTTTTCTTTGATTCCTCTTCAGTTTCTCCAGATCATTTATAATGTGTATTTGGCCCCAGGTTATTCTAAAATAAGGATATAGTAACCAACATAAAGTATAGCAGGAGTAATTCACAAAATTTGCATGACTTTTTTTTAATTGTCTATAATTATATTTTTCCCATGCCAGTTCTGAATTTCTAATTTATAAGTCTAGCTACATCAACCAGGTCTATTTTGATCATTCATTAAAATAATCATAATTGCAACTTACTTAGAATTTATGATAGGTCAGAATGAGACTGCCTGTGGAGAAAAAAGTCTTGCCAAGGAAATGAAAAGTCTTAATCATATAAAGCAAAAGTATTCATTTATTTACAAACAATAAATATGTTGGTGATATAAGTAGGATTAATCTCTGCTTTGACAGATGCTTTAAACTATTAATTACATATCAGTCTGTCTTCATTAAAATGGTTTCCTCACCACTAGCCTAAATAATAAAATTACTATTCTGATAGTATTATATATTTTAAAGGGCTGCCCTACCCACAAAGAGTTTATAAAATTTGTAAAGTTACCTGTAAATTAAAAACATGTAAAAGCCACTGACTTTTAAATAAGATGAAATATTTCTAGTTAGTTTTTGATTATGACAATAACCCAACTTCACTTAATGTAAGTGAAAATAGGGACCTTATGACTGATGGAATTTATGGAAAGGACAGGGATTGTGCTGGTCTCATGGAAGCCTCCATCAAGGAACTCCAATGTGGTCAGATGAGAGTAGCTTCTTCCCTCCTCTCATCTCCTTCCTCTCTTGTTTCTACCTCCCATGTCTGCCTCTTTCCTACTGCTTTCTCTGTGAGGCCAATATTATATTTTAAGTTCAAAGAATACAGAGTTCTTAGTTTGGTGATCCAAGTTAGAAAAATCAATGAAAGAATTTGGAGTTGTTTCACACGCCCATTCCGGGGCCCATCACTGTAGCCAAGGTGTTTGGGCAGTCTGACAGCCCAGGTTTTATACCTGTTTCAGCTGGGGATTAGGAGTGTTCTGTTCATTCTGTTACCAGAAGTGAGTGGAGGTGTGCTGGGGAAACAGCAGCATTAACTGTGGGAAAGGAAACTTGATCACTCAAGGTATTCTGTAGTGAATACCTCTTATTTTATTTATTGCTTAATGCCTGAGCTCTGTCTTCCATTTGTGGCTTTCTAATTTTCTCTTAAGGTTTTGGAAACATATTTTTAAAACTTTTAATATATTCTGCTTTTTAAAAATTCTTTGTCTTGAGATGAATTATCTATTGTGTATCATCTTAGTAGGGAGCAGGAGAGTTACACTTGGCCAGTTGGACAAGTTGTCTTCCAGAATTTGAAATGCAAAGTAAGTTGTGGAAGAATATGTGGCAGCATCTGAAGGACCAGACAGTTCTGTGGCGTGTCCTTCTTTTCAGTAGGTTGATAAAGGAATCTTGCTCTGGGATCTTTGACCATAGAGAAATCACAAATACAACTGCTTATGCTTGCCCTGTCTCTTGCTTTCTCTTGATAGTGGAAACTGACATCAAAGGAAGCCAGGAGATTACACTGGACCCTTTGCAACTAATACAGTGTTACTAGCCATGTGTAACTATTTCAGTCTAAATTTAAAAGAATTAAAAATTCAGTTCCTTAGTCATAGTAGCCACATTGCAGGTACCAAAAGCCACATCTAGTTAGTGGCTATTGTACTAGATGGTGCAAATTATAGAATATTTTCATCATTAAAGAAAGCTTGATTGGACTGTCAGTCTACTGTTGGACTGTTAATTCCTTAAGGGTTGGTGGTTCTGCCTTTGTTGTTGTCTGGTGCATCTGCAGCACATATGACTGGACTCAGCATTTGTGGGTGCTCAATAAATTTTTGTTGAATATTGAAATGACACACTTCAGTTGCCTGCCTCAGAAAACCTAGGCAATAATCATCATAATTAGCTACCCTATACTACAAAGAGAGCTTGAAATGGCTCCATCTCACTGTTACTCAAAATGTTTTTATTTAAACATTTCCATAGTTAGATTTTCTGTTGCATTTTGGCCCTTGGATCTGCCTCTACTACTCCTTCCATTATTTTCATAACTACTTTAAAAATATAAAGTACTTGATCTTATAGTCTCTCATTCCCCAACTTACTCATCCTTCACCTTTTGATTTCTTTCTACCAGCAACCCATTAATGCTTCCTCTATTAGCAGTTTTTCCTGTAGCCTCTGAAATCTCTATCTCATTACCTGTAAATTTTTTACAATTTCCAGTTAAAAATAAAAACAAAAACAAAACACCTTCGATTGGCTCAAAGATGGTGGTGTGAGAGGTGAGACAAAAACCTCCCCCCAAAACTACATATAATATGAAAATATAGTAAGTAGAACTAATCCTGAAAGAACAACAAGAAAGAAGGCTGTGGCAGACTGCCTATACCTGGGGAACAGAGCAGACCTCATGGAACAGGGCAAATACCAAAGCCGTGATCTGGCAGGACTCAAGACCTTTACCCACCCCAGCTCACAGGCAGGAGGAAGAGAAAAGTTGCAGAGAGGGGGTGGAGGCCTAGGACTGTAAAACATCCAGATCTGGAGATCTGCTCTGGGAGCACGAACCTACATTACATGGTGCTCTGGAGATTAGTGGGGTTGGAAAGCTAAGACAGGCAGAGTACTTGGAGAAACTGAGATTCCAGCTCTTGTGGGGAACAGGTACCCACAACTGGCCACTCTGGGACAAAAGAAAAGCGGGCACTCTGAGAGACTTCCTAATAGTGAGAGGGCTGCTAAAGGGGCAAGGATTGCACAGAGCTTGCTGCTCAGGAGAAAGGACAGGTGGGCAAAATTGTCCTGGTGCTCCATCCCCCTGGCTGGGTACACAGCTATGAGGCCCCCCACTGCAATATGCAGCCTGCTGCTCCTTTCTCCTGGCCGGGCACCTGCTCACAAACCAGCTGCCCCCGTCAGTGTACCAGACTAGCCAAACAGTGGCCTGGATTATGGCAGGTACATGAACATAGCATAGAGGCTCCTCCCTGCATGCACAGCCCACTGGCCCAGGCAGTAAAGGCAGGCACTGCAGCTGGGAAGCAGGAAAGAGCTCTTTCCTCCCGGCAGGCACCAGCTCTGCTTGCCTGTGACCCCTGACATCGCTCCAGGATCTGAGCAGCTTCAGAGAGTAGGGCTTCTAGGCACTAAAGGGTGCCACCTACAAATATGAAACATCAAAGGAAGCTGGTTCAAAACCAAATCCCATGAACATCAGAAAGTGGGCCAAGTGAAACTAAACTCACCAATCTTCCAGAAAGAGATTTCAAAAGAAAAATCATAAACATGCTCATGGAGCTACAGAAAAATAGTCAAGACCTCAGGGAGGAATTCAAGCAGGAGATACTTTGAAAAATACAGTTTCTGAAATGAAACATACAGTGGAAAGATTTAAAAGCAGATTAGATGAAGTAGAGGAGATGGTAAATGAAATAGAAATTAGAGAACAGGAATACAAAGAAGCTGAGGCACAGAGAGAAAAAAAGGATCTCTAACAATGAAAGAATATTGAGAGAACTGTGTGACCAATCCAAATGGAACAATATTCACAATAGGGGTACCAGAAGAAGAGAGAAAAAGGGATAGAAAGTCTTTGAGGAGGTAATTGCTGAAAACTTCCTCAATCTGGGGAAGGAGATAGTCTCTCAGGCCATGGAGGTGCACCAATCTCTCAACACAAGGGACCCAAGGAAGACAACACCAAGACATATAATAATTAAAATGGCAAAGATCAAGTATAAGTAAGCACAGAGTATTAAAAGCAGTCAAAGAGAGAAAAAAAGATCACATACAAAGGAAAACCCATCAGGCTATCATCAGACTTCTCAACAGAAACCTTACAGACCAGAATGGAGTGGCATGATATATTTAATGCAATGAAACAGAAGGGCCTTGAACCAACAATACTCTATCCAGCAAGAATATCATTTAAGTTTGAAGGAGAGATTAAACAATTTCCAGAAAGCAAAAGTTGAATTTACCTCCCACAATCCATCTCTACAGTGTATTTTGGAGGGACTGCTATAGATGAAAGTATTCCTAAGGTTAAATAGCTGTCACCAGAGAAAATAAAATCACAGTAAAGGAAGTAGACCAATTAATTACTAAGCAAATGCAAAATTAAATAAAATATCCCCAAGTCAGTCAAGGAATAGACAAAGAGTACAGAATATGATATCTAATATATGAAGAATGGAGGAGGAAGAAAAAGGAGGGAAAAAAAACCCTTTAGATTATGTTTATAATAGCATACTGAGTTGTTAGATCTTTAGATAGTAAGGAAGTTACCTTTGAACCTTTGGTAACTATGAATCTAAAGCCTGCAATGGCAATAAGTACATATCTATCAATAATCACCCTTAATGTACATGGTCTGAATGCACCAATCAAAAGACAGTCACTGAATGGATAAAAAAACAAGACCTGTCTCTATACTGTCTGCAAGAGACTCACTTCAAACCCAAAGATATACACAGACTAAAAGTGATGGAATGGAAAAAGATATTTCATGCAACTAATAGGGAGAAAAAAGCAGGAGTTGCAGTACTTGTATCAGACAAAATAGACTTCAAAACAAAGAAAGTAACAAGACAAAGAAGGACATTACATAATGATAAAGGGGTCAGTCCAACAAGAGGATATAACCATTATAAATATCTATGTACCCAACACAGGAGCACCTACATATGTGAAACAAATACTAACAGAGATAAAGGGGGAAGTAGAATGCAATGCATTTGTTTTAGGAGACTTTAACACACCACTCACTCCAAAGGACAGATCAACCAGAGAGAAAATAAGTAAGGAGACAGAGGCACTGAACAACACATTAGAACAGATGGACCTAACAGACATCTACAAAACACTCCACCCAAAAGCAGCAGGATACACATTCTTCTCAAGCACACATGGAACATTTTCAAGAAAAGATAATATACTAGGCCACAGAAAGACTCTCAGTAAATTCAGAAGGATTAAAATTGTAAAAAAACAAAACAAAACAATACCCACCTTTGTTGAAACCTGACTTTGTCCTGACAGCATATTAACTGACAACCCTTTTAAGTGGAAATTATCCCTACTTCCTCTTTCCTACAGCTAAGGACGGAGAAGGGAAATAAGTATTTGTGAACCCCACTCTTGTTTCCAGACCATTATTTAACTGAGTGGTTAAAATGGTTTTTCCTTGGATATTTGTTGCGTCCAACTCACCCTTTTTTTTTCTCTGACCATAACTGACCTATAGAATATTACCCAACAATCACACAGGATCTTGACTTCTGGCTCAATTTTTTTTCTATTTCCTATCCTGTGCTATCATTCTTAGTGACTTCAACATCCATATTATTGTGTTGACCCATTCAGCACCTTAGCCTTGTAGTATATTTTGTCTTCACTGTGGCATTCTTTGTTTACTCCACTTATCAGCCCCTACACTTAGCCATAAATTGAACCTTGTCATCTATTAGAGCTGTTTGCTTCAAACAGAATTTTTTTTCTCTTATCCACTCCATTCTCACTGAAGATACTAAAGCTGGCAGTTCTTTTTATATATTAAAGTTTTTGTTGAAGTATCTTTGATATACAATCTTGTATTGGTTTCAGATATATAACACAGTGGTTCAACAGTTACCCATATTATTAAATCCTCAGCCCCTCTAGTGCAGTCACTATCTGTCAACATAGAAAGATGTTACAGAATCATTGGCTATATTCTCCATGCTGTATGACCATCCCTGTGAACAACATTATGATTGAGAATTTTTGTGCCCTTTTATCTCACCACCCTCCCACCCCACCATAATAACCACTAGTCACCTGTTGGCCATCTGTATTTCTTCCTTGGAAAAATGTTCAGGTCATCTGGGAAGATATTTTTTAATTCACGGGAAGGAATTTTTTAATTGGGTTATTTGTTTTTTTGGTTTTGAGGCATATGAGTTCTTCATATATAATGAATGTTAACCCCTTATCAGATAAGTTTATGAACATATTCTCCCATACTGTAGGTTTCCTTTTTGTTCTGCTGATGGTGTCCTTTGCTGTACAGAATCTTTTTAGTTTGATGTAGTCCCACTTTTTTTCTTTTGATTTTGTTTTCCTTGACCAAGGAGATGTGTCCAGGAAAAAATTTCTCATGCTTATGTTCAAGAGATTTTTACCTGTTTTCTCTTTTATGGTTTCATTTCTTATATTTAGATCTTTCATCCATTTCAAATTTACTTTTGTGTATGGACTTAGTAATCCAGTTTCATTCTCTTGCTTGTAGCTCTCCAGTTTTCCCAACACCAATTATTGAAGAGGATGTCTCTTCTCCATTGTATATTCATGGCTCCTTTATTATATATTAACTGGCTATGTATGTGTGGGTTTGTGTCTGAGATCTCTATTCTATTCCATTGGTCT